CATGTTTGAGACTGAAAAAAAGACACCAGCAATCCTACCATCATGTAAAACAATTCCAGGCTTTTGTTTCACACTCGCTTGGCCGGACAGTAGTACCTCCCTGGGCGCTTGCTGTCTACCAACCTACTGTTGGTGTTAATACATACAAATAATTTTGGTTCATGGTTGTTAATCAAACCTTGGTAGAGAAACTGGCTCGTAGTATATGTAAAGTTAGGATGACTATTTGTATGTTGTACAGTGTATTTCTCTGGCTTGTTTTTAATTATGGGTTTGGACACTTTTTGCCCTCTTCTAATGACACAGCCTTTATAATTCAGTTTCTCATTTTAGACTTAAAATGAAAATGCATTTTGATACACTACAGAACATTTGATATACGGTATTTTGTTAATATTGATCCTGTCAGTAGTTTTCTTTCAACAAACTGGCCATATCCCACTGAGGCAGGGTGGCACAAAAAGAAAAACAAAAGTTTCTCTTTTCAAATTTAGTAATTTATACAGGAGAAGAGGTTACTAGCCCCTTGCTCCCGGCATTTTAGTCGCCTCTTACAACATGGAGATAAGAGGAAATAAACAAGAACTAGAAAGAAAATGGCAGAAAACCCAGAGGGGTGTGTATATATATGCTTGTACATGTGTGTGTAGTGTGACCTAAGTGTAAGTAGAAGTAGCAAGACGTACCTGAAATCTTGCATGTTTATAAGACAAAAAAAGGACACCAACAATCCTACCATCGTATAAAACAATTAGTCTTTCGTTTAACACATACTTGGCAGGACGGTAGTACCTCCCTGGGCGGTTGCTGTCTACCAACCTACTACCTAGTGTCAGTAGTTTATCCCATCAAATTTGCCTCAAGTATGTTACACTTTTAGGTAACATGCATACTGTACATTACTCAATTTTTCCATTTCAGTCAGTCTTTACTACATTTATTTTCTCCAATAGAACATGTTTACTTTCTTGAAGCAAGATTAAATAATTTGCATCATGGTAAAAAAAAAGTGTGCTGAACGCATTCTGCTATTAAGGTGTTGCCGTCTCTCGCTTGAATAAAGAAATCTAACTTAACATTTATTTTCCCTTCCACTCTGTTAGATCTGCACCATTCTTATAAATAAAATTACCCACTAAGATAATATTTTTTTATGATATACAGAAATAATAAATGCTTAAGTTGACCATCATTTATCTTGTCAATTTTATCCTATGTATTACTAAACTGTGGGTTCAAAGCATACAAGGTAGATTTATTTTTAATTACAGTTTTTGATTTCTGCCATAAAAATGTTTACTTCCTGTATCCATTTAGAGCACTTGTCTGTATGTATTTTTGTCCTAATTAGATAGTTTCACAGTTCTAATAATATGCATGTGTTTACACATTTTAGTAATCCTTGTTTTTAACCATTTATAATTTTCTAGTTAATTAACCTAAGAGCCATCTTGTCTTCATTAATTTAATTTCAAAAATTAACAGTAGTACTTTTGTAGCTGGTAACTTAGGTCTTTATTGTTCTTTGTGAATGTGTTCACTTGTTAGTTGGCACTAAATTTGTCTTGGAGAAACTTCAAATTGGAATTTCATATGTAGCTACCCAGATATTAATCTTAGAAATGAGCAAATGGTTACTGGGAAGTATGAAGATTGTAGGTATGGAGTACAGTAGTGAAGATTAGCTCAATTGATGAAAGATTATCACTGAAGGGTTGATAACCCAAGATAACCAAAGAAAGCCAAGCCATGTGGCTTATTTTCATTGGGGTTGTTAGGGCCTCCTTCAGTTAACTCCTAGGTATACTCTGATTATTAAGACAACAGGAAAAGCATGTATTTTAAGACATTTGACCCACTGTGAAGCTTTATCAAATAATGTACTGTACTTGATGCAGCCCCACTGTGGGTGAAAGTGTATAATGGTTGTTTTACATTGTATCTTTAAAATTACCACTTGTTGGCATAAGCTGTCTTCTACCTTCAAGGTATGTCTACTGGTAGGTGAACAGGGGCAGCACACAAGATGATATACACAGAGGTGTGTGTATATCTCAGGAATTAGCTATTTTCAATTTTATGGATTAAAAGTATTCTTGGCTGGTGGTGAACAGCTTGTATGGTCCTCACATAGTTAGACTTTAAACCCATTTAACCAACTAGGGGCAGTAGGTGTTCGACTTTTTTCCATACGTCTTGCTCACCTTGTATTCAGTTTAGGCCTTTTAGTGTACTCAAACACCAGATTTTTATTTGATGAAATTTCCAAATGTAGTATAGTAGTGAAGGGACTTTTTTCACATTTCCCAAAAATGAACAGTGGTTGTTTGAACCTACTAATTTAAGATTTCTTTATTTTGATAAAGCATTGCCAATAGATTTACTAAAGCCACAACACACATCATAGAGAAACTGTGTATAGTAGGAGCAAATGAAAAAGCTTAAAATATGGGCTTGAACTATAATTTATTCGTATAAAAACTGTTGGAAGACAGATGGGCTAGTGAGAATACAGGCAATGGGGTAGATGTATGGGGTGGAATGATATAAAGAGAGCAGCAAGAGAGAAAAGTTAGCATATGAGAGGTTTTTACAAAGTAGAAGTGATGCAAGGAGGGAAGACTATGGAGAGAAAAAGAGAGGTTAAAAGAGTAGTGAAGCAATGTAAAAAGAGAGCAAATTTTGTTGAAAATAAAAAGTTTTGGAGTGACATTTATAAGTTGAGAAAGCCTAGGAAAAGAATGGATTTGTTAGTTGCAAAATAAGAGAAGAGAGTTATTAAATGGAGAGTTATTAAATGGAGAGTTAGAGGGAATATTTTGAGGAATTGTAAAAGTTGATGAAGATAGTGAAACTGATTTTGTATGCAGGGCAAAGAGGAATAACATCTTATAGGAGTGAGGAAGAACCAGTTGCGAGTGTAGGGGAAGTGCATGGGGCAGCAAGTAGAATGAAAGGGGGTAAAACAGCTAGGATTGATGGGATAGAGATAGAAATGTTAAAAGCAGGTGGGGATATAGTTTTCGAGCGGGTAGCATTTTTATTTAATAAATATATGGAAGAGGGTAAGGTACCTAGGGATTGGGAGAGAGTATGTATAGTTCCTTTGCATAAAGGCAAAGGGGATAAAAGAGAGTGCAAAAATTATAGGGAAATAAATCTGTTGAGTATATCTGGTAAAGTGTATGGTAGTTATTACTGATAGAATTATGAGTAAGACTGAGAGCAGGATAGCAGATGAACAAGGAGGCTTTAGGAAAGGTAGGGGGTGTGTAGACCAAGTGTTTGCAGTGAAACACATAGGTGAACAGTATGTATTTGGATAAGGATAAAGAGGTTTTTGTGACATTTATGGATTTGGAAAAGGGGTATGATAGGGTGGATAGGAGGGCAGTGTGGCAGATGTTGCAAATGTATGGAATAGGAAGGTTATTGAGGGCAGTGAAAAGTTTTTACGAGGATAGTGAGGCTCAGGTTAGAGTATGTAGGCAAGAGGGGGATTATTTCCCAGTAAAAGTAGGCCTTAGACAGGGATATGTGATGTCACCATGGTTGTTCAATATATTTATAGATGGAGTAGTAAGAGAAGTGAATGCTTGGGTGTTGGCAAGAGGTGTGGGGGTTAAAAGATAAAGAAGCTAACACAAAGTGGGAGTTGTCACAGTTGCTCTTTGCTGATGACACTACTTTTGGGAGATTCTGAAGAGAAGTTACAGAGGTTGGCTGATGAGTTTGGTTGGGTATGTAAAAGAAGGAAGTTTAAAGTGAATATAGGAAAGAGTAAGGTGATGAGGATAACAAAATAATTAGGTAATGGAAAATTGGATATCAGATTGTAGGGAGAGAGTATGGGGGAGGCGAATGTGTTCAGATACATGTATATGGGAGTGGACGTGTCAGCAGATAGGTCTATGAAGGATGAGGTGAATCATAGAACTGACAAGGGGAAAAAGGTGAATTGTGCACTGAGGAGTCTGTGGAGACAAAGAACTTAATCCATGAAAGCAAAGAGGGGAATGTAGGAGAGTATAGTTATACCAATGCTCTTGTATGGGTGTGAAGCATGGGTTGTTAATGTTACAACAAAAAGGCTGGAGGCAGTGGAGATGTCATGTCTGAGGGCTGTGTGGGGTGTGAATATAATGCAGAGAATCCGTAGTTTGGAGATTAAGAGTTGTGGGATAACCAAAACTATTATCCAGAGGGCTGAGAAAAGGTTATTGAGAAGGTTTGGACATGTAGAGAGGATGGAATGAAATAGCATGACTTCAAGAGTATACAAATCTGTAGTGGAGGGAAGGCGGGGTAGGGGTCGGCCTAGGAAAGGTTGGAGGGAGGAGGTAAAGGAGGTTTCGTGTGTGAGGGGCTTGGACTTCCAGCAAGCGTGCATGAGCGTGTTAGACAGGAGTGAATGGAGACAAATGGTTTTTAGGACTTGACATGTTGTTGGTGTGTAAGCAAGGTAACATTTATGAAGGGATTCAGGGAAACTGGCAGGTTGGACTAAAGTCCTGGAGATGGGATGTACAGTGTCTGCATTCTGAAGAGGGGTGTTTATGTTGCAGTTTTATAACTGTTGTGTAGGCATGCCTTTGGCAAGACAGTGATGGAGTGAATGATAAAAGTTTTTCTTTTTCGGGCCACCCTGCCTTGGTGGGAAACAGCTGATGTGTTAATAAAAAAAAATTAATAAAAATTTTACAGTACATATGTATTTTTAAATTCCAGTGCCAGGATGCTGACTTTAAAGTTTAACAATTTCCAGCTGACATACTGCATATTAATACTGTGCTTATGTTTTATGTTTTTCTTCAGGGATTTATGCTTATAATAAAAGATGTGTAATTATTTAACCCTCCTTATACAGATGTTGCATTAAAAATAGTTTCTTTTAAAGTCTGGAAATTTTCTCAGTTCTTGGATAGTGTGTTCCTGACATCAGTTTTATATATACAATATTTTTTAGATATAATCAACGTCTTAAAATATTTATTTTCCAGGAGGCAGAAATAATGAGGGAGTACATAAAGCCACCAGCCAACAAGACCTTATTTGATGTAGATACAGATGGTCCCCATCGATCATGCTCTGTTGGAGTATTTCCTACCCAACCAGAGTGTGGGGCTTCACATCCTGGAGTAACGTACCATCATCGTCACTCTGCTCCCCTTGAGACCCGATCCTCACATCATCCAGCAGTGTCTGCATCATCGTCTTCATCGTCACTACCAGGGTGGGGATGTGGGGATGATGGTCGGGGATCTCCAAGAAGAGGGCGAAAAGCAGGAGGTTCAAGTCAAAAAACACCGTTAATGTTGACTCCCTTTTCCTCCTCGTCCAAATATGAACGGGCACCTCACTCCTCCCAACAAGAGGGAGGTCGAAGGGGAAGCCAGCACCAAGGAAGGTTGGGTACTAGCTCTCCATCGCCTTCACGTGACCCAAGTATCTCCTTACCCTACTGCCCATCAACTAACACCCTGGCAGATATTACCATGGTATCAGTGCCGTGTGGACCCTCTACTCACAGTTCCAGCTCTGGTCACCTAGGAGGACCAGGTGGCTTCCAAGGAGCTCACATGGGTAGTTTAGGACTACCAGGGGACCTTCCAATTATGTATGGACAGTCCTCGGATTCACCCTGCAGTCCAACTGCAGATCATGACCTTCCGCCCTTATATAGTGACGTGATGGAAAGTTCCAGCTTGTATACAAGTGCTAGTAGACCCTCGGAACAAAGGACAAAAAGTGGGGAAATATGACCACAAAGTCATTTACTTAGTCTTTCAAACATACTTTACAATATCACTTAAGATGTACTTGTTGTAATGAAAGTTGTTATATCCCTTGGGATGTGATAGTGTGACAAGTGATACAGCGCTGAAGCCAGCAGGTGTCTTGGTGCTCAGTGGTGGTGAGCTGGCATTCAGGCTCACTCGTGTGCATAACCAACTGCCAGCATGCATGTACACTAGGGTGTGCTAGGGCAGGCAGATGCACTCCTGCCTTGTGCATAATTGTGTGTATGTAGGGAGGGCATGGAGATGTGCTAATGGGCTCACCCATGGTAAGACCAATGCACACACAAGGGCAGTTGGGACCAGCTGCTGTAGTGATGAATGAAGGAATCACCAGTGCCTGGGGTCCCAAGGACCAGTGCTATGGTGTTTGGCAGCAGTGTAGCTCTGCCACACACACTGCTGTGCACAGCTTACAGTCACCAGTTATGGCTAACAGTGTATTGTAAGAGTGCTGCAGCATTTCCAGGGCCAAGTCCCATATGTGATAGGCCTTCTCTTTCTCACTGAACAGGTGATGGAGTGTGGTGTGTGGCAGTAACTGTGGGTGTGTGGCTGGGCAACCTGTATATGGTGTGACAGAAAGACCAGACTCAGGGAACACTGCAAAAACCTAGCTTGTTATTCCTAGTTTTAATTGCAAGAATAAAATTGCTTTTATTGTATTGATGTGAAATATTGTTACAATCTAAGGTAAAGTTCCCTGAGACTGGGTGGGGTCAGTCAGACCTTGGAGGTGTGGGAGGATGGTGACAGTGGCAGGTGGAATTTTAGAACTTATTCTTACCTTATGCTGTTCTGGGTAACCACAGAGGTGGGTAGTCAAGCAAAGTGATGCACCTTGCCTCTAATTGCAGCCACTTTATATTTCCATTTAATAACATATTGCACACCCCAAGGCTTGGTTAACTCCTGTGATTGAGTAGTGGGCAACCCTCACTGTTATTCCACTGCCAGGTATATATATATATATATATATATATATATATACTGTATATAGGTTTCGTAAGATTTGCCTGTAATTCATTGTTCTGCCTGTCGGCAGGTGATATTCCTTCCACCCCAGCTGCTAAGCAGTCATTGCATGAGTGTAACGGATCTAAGTGTATAACACGATAAATGACAGCATGTGCAGTCTTTAACCTTAGAACACTGTGATGGATAAAGGTTGACTCTTGCAAGAATAATTGATACAGTGAGCCCAGCCACATCACTCATGGGTAACCCTTCCATACTTCTGACTCTTCTCACAGATTTGAATATTAAGCTGTCCACAGTGCAGTGCCACTGGTTTGGTACAAAGCTACATATGTCAAATGCAGAGGCTCTTGTGCCAAGTATATCAGCAATTGTATTTGATTTGGTGGCACTTATTCATGGAACAGTGACACTCATACATGGTATAGTAACTCTTGTGCATGGTATGGTGGCAGTTGTATATAGTACACTGGTAGTGTTGCTTTGTAAAGTGGCACTTGCATATGAAACAATGGCACTTATGCATGACACTTTACAAGTACTGTGCCATTTGTACAAAGCTTAGTGCCATTTGTGACCGTTGAGATAATACTGTTCCATTTTCAAGTATAATACTTTTGTACAGAGTTGAAGATTTCTTATACTAGGCATGGTGCCATTTGTGCCAAGTATAATGATATATTTAGTAGAAGAGTAATACTTATGCTAGGTTGTGCCACCTATAATACTGATTGTAGCAAGGATGTGGCCTTTTGTCAGGTGCATTATTATCTAATGCCAAGTATGGTGTCATCTGTGTCCAGCATAGTACCTATTGTGTCAAGTTCAGTTCTATGTACCAAGCAGTGTCACTTGTGCTCAGTACAGTCAGTGGTGTCCAGTACAGCGACACTTGTGCGCAATACAGTGACACGTGCTCAGTGTAGTGCTAATTGTTCATAGTACAGTGTACTTGTGCTCAGTACAATGCTAATTGTTCACAGTACAGTGATATGCTCAGCACATCTACTTGTGCTCAATGCAGTGCTAATTGTTTACGGTACAATTACACTTGTCCTCAGGGCCTAGCACAGTGCAACAGATAGCACAGTATCACTTGTGTTAAGTGCAATGCCTAATGTACTTCAAACACTATTTTTTGTGCCCAGCAAAGTGCCACTTGTGCCCAGCATGGTGCCATTTGCACCTGACAGAGCCACTTGTACCTGACAGTGCCACTTAAGCTGGTACAATGCAACCTAACAAACACGTTCCTTGGGTCAGGCGGTGTGGCCCCAAAACAATACACTGTCAATCTTCTTTCAGTCTCCCATTCATTGGTTATGTCACCAAACATTTCCTAGGATTTTGAAAACTCGTACATGTTAATATTGAATAATAAACTTGCATATTTTATTTTACATGCATATTTTCTTTATTACATAGTATGACTGTAGAATACAAATTATGCTGCGATGATGTGTTGCATGTGAAAATTAAATGAATTGCCATACGGTATGATGAAATTTTCTGTACCAAGAGCTAATTAGTAGGAAAGAAATTCTATCCAAAAATAGGTAGCCATTTTTTAAGGCCATGGTCATTTGCCAATTTTTAATTTTGATTCTGGAAATACTTTTAAAGAAAACATTTTTATGTAAATAAAGGGATTGCTACAGTGGCACATTGATTTTCTTTTAAAATTTCTGAGTATTTGATTTAAAGATTTAATGCATTGTGTATATAGAAAAGTAAATGGTGGCAAGGAAAAAGTGTTAGTGGTACTACAAAATGAACGTTGTGTTGGATTTAATGTGTAGCAATGCCTTGTTGACATCCATCAGCTTGGCCATAAATATAAATTGCTTTTACTATTCAAACCATTACCTTTAGTTCTATGCCCACTATTCATATCATGCCAAACCTAACCAGGGTTCTTGTTCTCCACTGCCAGTTATATTGAACACTATTAGTAAGAATCGTGTGGGAAATTAATTGCACGATAAATGGGGCCAAGCCACCAATAGTCACTCAGACTGTACGTATTAGCAGATGAAAAAAATGGTTATGCAGTGAGATAAAATTGGTATTCTTTTAATGGGTAAGGCACATGTTCATGTTTCTAACTTGAGAGGTAAAAATAGCATATTGGAATGCTAAAAAATTGAGTATTAAAATGGCCAAACTATTCAAAGACATTCCAACATCATCACTAATACTAATAATTCGTCACTGTATAATACAGCAAATAAAAATTTTGAAAAGAATTAGCCACTAACACATTAAAGTTGGAGAAAAACAACGGTTTAAGTATTGGTTTTGGTAAGTCTTCTGCATACTTCTGAAAATATTGTTCAAAGATTCTAAAAGATAAAGATATCAGTGGGTCATGAATGCACTATCCACAACTCTTTGCTCTGTGCATAACAAATTTGTGTATTTCCCCTAGTGTTCACTAAGGATATTTTGTATGATAAATGAAAAAGAAAATTTCTGAATACTGTATATTGTACAGCATGACATTGTTGATAAATTGCTGAAAAGAAATGTTAATAGTTTATTGCACATTTACAATCAGTGTTCTGCATAAAGCCTCTAGTTCTGGTAAATGGATAATAAAAATTTAAAATGTAAAATCGTGACTAATATGATAGTTTGTGTACACATTTATTTTTTAGTATTTTAATACTTAAAATGGTTGATGTCATTTTGGATATTCCTCAACAGGCCTTATCTCTTCTTACCAGTAACATTTCCATTGCTTTTTTTTTTCTTTATTTTTTTTTTCTTTTCTTTTTTCTTTTGCAAATACATTGGTATTTCATATACAGAACAGTTTTGTGAAATTTAGTATGCAGTAACAGTAGTGAAGTTTGAGCTGTGTTTTTTCACATGTTTATTTTTTTTATTTCCTTTAACGGTACATTTATAATAACCACTTCCATTTGATATACAACTGTGGCCTCTCGGGTTAATTTTTTCTCTCCTGTTAAATTAGTCTGATACAGGAGTCTTTGTGCTCTGTGCCTTGTTAATTTAGCATTCGAGGGTTTACTGGCTCATATATGGCAAAAGAGATTTTATTGATCATTTAATGCTATATCTAGGCTTTGTTTATTAATCTTATCACCCAAACTAACTTAATATTCCTTGTTCCTTTTACTTAATTCTTCTTGGGTTTCTACATATGTTTGGAGCTCATTGTCACGTTACTGTTATTGTTAATAAGTACAGCAAAGCCTTGGTTTGAATGCACGTAACTCTTGTCAGAGTAAACTTTATAGTTGCATATATCCGATCATAAAATATTAGCGGTACGAAGCTATGCTAACATCCAGTTTTAAGGAGGAAGGATCTTTTTATGTACAGTGGTTATTAGGTATACAGTATATTTAAAAATTTAAGACTAAAAGTCTCAAAAAGTGATGTTTATTGTATGCATTTATTGTGTACATTCCCAGATGCCAGAAAATATTTTCTTAGTGTTTAATTTTTATGAAAATTAAAAAAATGCTTCTGTAATGCATGCTCAAATTTACTATTTGAACCTTATTTCTGTTTTCCATAGGCTGTGAAACTTTTTTGTGCAAATAAGGTTTCTTAAATTATGCCTTTGAGATTTGGAGGTTAAAATTCTGAGAAGCTCAAAGGAAAATTATACTGAATGCAGAAACAAATTCCATCATACTCTGTAGAGAGTACATAAACTATCCAGGAAAGGAAATGTCCTATAAGAAAAGTTATAATTGAGACAAAAATCAGTGATATCTTTTGTTCAAAATATAAATTACAGTATTTATAGTGATTTGATAAGGAAAAAATAATTACTCTTAAAGACTGCCTTTAAGCAGTACCACACTGAGGAAAGGAAGTCAGTATATTTTTAATTTGTAAAAGAATTGCAAAATTTAGCTACAAAATGTTGTCCAATCCTGCAAGAGAGAATTCCACAACCAAGGCCTTGTATGAAGGAAATGATTGGCAAGTGAAGGTAGCAGTCACTGATGCTGAGCTAGATAAGACGCTGCAAAGCCCAGCTGAATTTGGTAAGTGTTATCGTGCAGAGTTTCGTACTAATGGGACTTCTGGAGGATTTATTGAATGTCGGTAACATGACAAACATTACACTGCAGAAAATGCACAAGGAAAAATCTTCTGAATAATTGTGTGTGTTTAACCTGTTGATATTTACCTATTTGTAGCTCTAGAACTATGATCATGGTGTCCCATCTAAAGTATTTAATCTGTCTTCTGATTTTTTTGCACTATCCAGTAGTGGTAGCACTTGTGACCTTTTGTAACCAGTTTCATTGTTTTACCGCTGAAAAACAATTTTCCAGGATCATTTTGGCACCTTTTTTTCCTATTTACACATTTGGCCCTCCCTGTTGGTAGCACATTGTGTATTCTTTTGTTTAGTAGTACCGTATTAATTTTGTATCTATTTTATTACGTGGTTATTGTCTCATCTTTTTACCCTGAGGGCAGGTTCTTTCACATTGATCATGCATCATGATCAATGCCATGAACTGCACTGCCTAGGACTTAACTCGCCAGAATGGCGGTAGTCTGCAATGATAAAATAAGTACTCCCTCTCCTTTCTCTTTCTCTCCTCCTTTTTTCTTTCTTTCCTTCTTTCTTTCCTTCTTTCTTTCCTTCTTTCTTTCCTTCTTTCTTTCCTTCCTTCTTTCCTTCCTTCTTTCTTTCCCTTTCCCTTTTTTCCTTCCTTCCTTCTTTCCTTCCTTCTTTCCTTTCTTTTCTTCCCTTTCCTTTTTCTTTCCTTTTTTCTTTCCTTCTTTCTTTCCTTTCTTTCCTTCTTTCTTTCCTTCTTTCCTTCCTTTCCTTTCTTTCCTTCTTTCTTTCCTTCCTTCTTTTTCTTTCCTTCTTTTTCCTTTTCTTTCCTTTTTTCTTTCCTTTTTTCTTTCCTTTTTTCTTTCCTTTTTTCTTTCCTTTTTTCTTTCCTTTTTTCTTTCCTTTTTTCTTTCCTTTTTTCTTTCCTTCTTTCTTTCCTTTCTTTCCTTCTTTCTTTCATTCCATTCTTTCTTTTTCCTTTCTTTCCTTCCTTCTTTCTTTCCTTCCTTATTTCTTTCCTTCTTTCTTTCCTTCCTTCTTTCCTTCCTTCCTTCTTTCCTTCCTTCTTTCCTTTCTTTCATTCCTTTTCTTTCTTTCCTTCTCTTTCCTTTCTTTCTTTCCTTCTCTTTCCTCTTTCTTTCCTTCCTTCTTTCCTTCCTTCTTTCCTTTCTTCTTTCTTTCTTTCCTTTCCTTCTTTCTTTCTTTCCTTTCCTTCCTTTCTTTCCTTCTTTCCTTCCTTTCCTTTCTTTCCTTCTTTCTTTCCTTCTTTCTTTCCTTCTTTCTTTCTTTCCTTTTCTTTCCTTCTTTCTTTCCTTCTTTCTTCTTTTTTTCCTTCTTTCTTTCCTTCTTTCCTTCCTTCTTTCCTTCCTTCTTTCTTCCTTCTTTCTTTCCTTCTTTCTTTCCTTCTTTCTTTCCCTTCCTTCTTTCCTTCCTTCTTTCCTTCCTTCTTTCCTTCCTTCTTTCCTTCCTTCTTCCTTCCTCTTTCCTTCCTTCTTTCTTTCCTTCTTTCTTTCCTTCTTCTTTCCTTCTTTTTCCTTCTTTCTTTCCTTCTTTTTCCTTCTTTCTTTCCTTTTCTTTCCTTCTTTCTTTCCTTTTCTTTCCTTCTTTTTTTCTTTTCCTTCTTTCTTTCCTTCCTTCTTTCCTTCCTTCTTTCCTTCCTTCTTTCCTCCTTCCTTCTTTCCTTCCTTTCTTTCCTTCCTTCTTTCCTTCCTTTCTTCTTTCCTTCCTTCTTTCTTTCCTTCCTTCTTTCTTTCCTTCCTTCTTTCTTTCTTCCCTCTTTTCTTCCTTCTTTCCTTCCTTCTTTCCTTCCTTCTTTCCTTTCTTCTTTCTTTCCTTCTTTTTCCTTTTCTTCTTTCTTTCCTTCCTTTCCTTCTTTCATTCCTTCCTTCTTTCCTTCCTTCTTTCCTTCTTTCTTTCCTTCTTTCTTTCCTTCTTTCCTTTCTTTCCTTCTTTCTTTCCTTCTTTCTTTCCTTCTTTCTTTCCTTCTTTCTTTCCTTCTTTCTTTCCTTCCTTTCTTTCCTTCCTTTTTTTCCCTTCTTTCCTTTCCTTCCTTCTTTCCTTCCTTCTTTCCTTCCTTCCTTCTTTCCTTCTTTTTTCCTTCTTTCTTTCCTTCTTTCTTTCTTCTTCTTTCCTTCTTTCTTTCCTTCTTTCTTCTTTCTTTCCTTCCTTCTTTCTTTCCTTCCTTCTTTTTTCCTTCTTTCTTTCCTTCTTTCTTTCCTTCTTTCTTTCCTTCTTTCCTTCCTTCTTTCCTTCCTTTTTCTTTTTCGAAGTAAAATAGAAAGTAACCCCCTTTCCCTTCCCATCCTCATCACTCCCCTATCAGTTGTCCTGTAATGCATTGCTCCTTTGTAGGCTAGTGGCATGTTGCTTCCTGGTCTGCTCTTGCATTTGTTGCCCAATATTGCAGTTGTTTGCTTAATTCTTGGTCTGTTTTGAGGATAGACTTTCATAAGTAGTGTGTTGTTAGATGAGCCATGCCAAGATTACTGGTAGTCTGCAGTGAAAGGTATATTTGGCTAGGGACCAAGCAAACATCTGAGGGTTTCAGCTAACTTTCAGAGAGCCTGGAAGTAGTCACAGGACCAGAAGGGTGACTGCCTAGTTGTAGTTAC